CTCACTCTGCATGTAGCGGGCCACCCCTTCCAGGGTTAGCTCATCCAGCAGACGCTCCTTCTGGGTGCCCAGGCCCAGTGTCTGGGAGAAGAAATTCCGCAGGAAGTCCACTGACAAAAAAGAAGAGAAACAGCAGCCAGACGGGTATTCAGCCAGGGTGCATAGACATCCCCAGTGCCCTTGCCCCAGCCCTGGGATTCCCCGGCCTCCCCACAGCTAAAGACACAATGCCTGGTCCAGCCAGGGGCTTCCAGGACCCTGCTCTGGCACTAGCACCGAATCCATTGCTACAAACTTTGAATGTTAGTCCTGGTGGAATTGAGGGGGAATCACCCAGACCCCTGCCCTGAAATTTCCCCCTCCAGAACCTTGCTCTTTTCCCTCCAAGGAAGATACTCACTCTCTGCCTCTCCACCAGCTGCTCCTCCTTCAGCGTCTGAATCTGAGTCCTGGAAGGGGTAGGGTGGGGTGGCCGGGGGATTAGGGAGAGAGAGGGACGGGGGAGTGACACCAGGTTTGGGGAAAAGGCTCTGGCTGGGAAGTGGCCTGAGAAGGTGAGGGGTGGTGGAGGGCCAGTGCCAGGACCCACATGAGGGCTGTGGGACAGGCTGCCTGGGTTGGAAACCTGGCCTTGCTACTCCTGAGGAGCAGACCTTGTGTGAGTGACTTGGCTTTTCTGAGTCTCAGTGCTCCTGGTCTTGGAAATGGAGCTCAGAGGGCTGTTAAGGCGATGAACTGAGTTAACATAAGTGAGGTGCTTGGAGCAGCACCCAGTGGTGGGGAGGTGCCCAGTGAGCACTGGCTACTGCTGTGACCGCACGCCCAGTGTGGTGCCCATATCCTCCCCTTGCACCCCCATCCCCTGTAGTGTGGGCCTGTTGCCTTCCCCAGAGGCCCTGCAGCCCTGCTCACAAAGTCACTCCTGTGGATAATGCCAACAGAAAGACCCGGGTGTTCACGCTGCAGGACCCTGTCTGCCCCCTGCATGAAGCCCCAGACACTCTCTGTCCACCTCTCTGACTACCTCCAGCTTCTTTATCACTCCTCCCCTTGACCTGGCTCCCAAAGTGCAGGTCTCTGGGACTCTGTCCTGGGCCCTCTCTGCTTTCTCTCTCCACCTTCCTTGGGCTACCTGACTCATCCATATCAATGGCTTCAGCCTAGTCACTGATGATGTCACTTCTCTGTCCCCAGATCCAGGGTTCCCATGTCCTCTTGGACTCCTTGCCCTAGGTGATCCCCCAGGCGCCTCAATCCCGCCATGTCTCAAACTGGCTTCAGCATCCCTCCCAAGCCTGCTCCTCCTCCCAGGCCTCATCTCAATGTGGTTTCACTGTCCCCCAGTCTGCCAGATGCCTCCTGCCCCTGCCTCCCTCCCTCACCCACGTGCCACAGCCCTGCAGCCTCACAGCATGCCCATTCATCCTCCTGAGAGTCCCTCTACTGACCTCTTCTCCCCTCCTCAGGGCTCCACCTGGTCCAGCCTGTCCTCTCTCCTCAGGGGTCCTGCCCCAGCCTCCTCCCTAGGCTTCTGGTCTCAGTCTCCACCTCTGATCTACCTTACTGCCCTCCACGTGATGGCCTGTCTGGGTCAGCCCACTCCTCTCTACTTCAAAGTAGTACTTCTCTTTGGCTTCTCCAGTCTCATCATTCAGTCACAAACATTCGTGGAGTCTGCCATGATATCAGCTCCACAGGGCAGGGACTTTGTGTTCACCACTGAATGCCCAGCATGGAGAACTGAGTCTAGCACCTGGCAGGAGCTCCAGAACCATCTACAACTGAATGACTGCCTGCTGCGTGCTAGATCAGGGCTGGGCCCTGTAATGGATCTCACAAAAACGCAGTTCTGACCAACTCACTCTCCTTAAAACCTCTCAGACAACCTTACTTCCCTGAGCACTCACTACATTGGTTCCAAGCCTTTTTGAATAAGAACCTCCCTTCTAAACATACTAAAATTCTTTAATTGATTTTTAAGACTGCACAAACCTTGCAAAAACTTTGACCATTAGACACTACCCACGAGCTGGGGCACTTGACTTGTGATTTCCCAATCCCACCCCTATGGAGACAACCACGATTCACTGTTCAATGGTAACTACTCCAGACTTTTTCTGTGCATATAAAAACTCATTATTTTTATAGAAATAAGCCATATCATTGTACAATGCTGCACCTTGCTTTTTCCACAGAACAATATACTCTAGACCCACCTCATTCTTTTAAGCAGCTACATAATATTGCATTGTATGGATGAACCATAGTTCATTTAACCCATCTACTGACAGGCATTTGGGCTGTGTCCAGTTTTGCCCTATAACGGACAATGCTGCAATTTACATCCTCCTGTCTCTCTTTGGCACTAAGGATCCCTTCTTAACATTAACCCTTTTCCTCTGACATTGTTGTGCCTTGGGAGCCAGGCGAATGAGATGCCACAGGAGGCTCTCATACCCTTGGCATTGCTCTGCTGTGCATTTGTGAGGCATTTTAATCGCAGCTTCAGCACTGCCCTGCATCTGAAAAGCCATCTCACGTGTGTGGGTGGGCTGGCATTCTTTCAGACTGTGGACAGTGAGGCTCTATGGAAGGACTCAAGGGACCTGCCCAGCATGTGGGGGAAACTTAGCCTAACGGGGAGCTGGAGGTGCTGGTGGTGGCTTCAAGCTTCTGCGAGGTGGCCTGTCTACCTCTCTTTGCAGTGTCTGGAAGGCAGTGTGTTCCCTTCCCTGCTCCTTTAGCTGAGGGATAGGGGACAAGTTACTTAAGACCACTGCCTCAGGGCCGGCCCAGTGGCGCACTGCTACAGTGTGCCGCTTGGGAGCGCGGCAGCGCTCCCGCCGAGGGTTCGGATCCCACATACAGACTGGCCGCTCACTGGCTGAGCGAGGTGCGGGCGCAACACCGAGGGTTGCGATCCCGTTGCCGGTCACGAAAAAAGACAAAAAGGAAAAAAAAGAAAAAAGACCACTGCCTCAAATTCCTCCTCTGTGAAATGACCATTTGGATGCTGGAAGATGAAATGAGATGATGCACTAGGATGATGCACTAAGCAGAGTGCCTGGCTGGAGTAACTAGTCAATAAATGCTAACCATGAGTATAATTAGCTGACCACCCCCAGCTACCCAACTTCTAAACACATCATGCTCTTTCATGCCCCAGGGACTTTGCACAAGCCATACACTCTGCATGGAACACCATTTCTCACTTTGTCTAAGAAAATTCTAAGTCACTCTTCACTTATTACGCTGTGTCAATATCTCAGTCTGACTCCTAGACCAGCCTGTGTATTACTTTAGGGAAGAGCCTGGCTGGAATCTTCTTTGACCCAAATAGTTTATTCTGGGCTCCTACAGTACCCTGAGCTACTTTCGTAACGATCCTGTAGGGCCATTTTCTCGTCACTTGTTCGTGAGATCTGTGAGTTCAGGAACCAAACTGGATACCTGTCTCTTCCAGGCCCAGCACAAATTTGGTATAGAAGGGATTGCTGGGGGGGGCGGGGGGGGGATAGTGGCAAGGAAAGAGGAAAGTTTAGGAGGGCAGGCCTGGGGTTGAGGCTGCATACTCTTCTTTGACACTCCGCAGAATCCACCATTCCCCAGGAGATTGCATCAGGTGGGGCGAGGGATTGGGGCAATGAGCAGAGGGCCCTGGGGTAACTGTGTCCCCTCTGCCACCTCCCCCCAGTGTGGGATGTGGGAACAAATCCATCTCTCTCCTTCCCTCCACCCTTTCCCCCATCTCACCTGAGCCTCCTGCACCTTCCCTGCCTGGGTCTCCAGAGGGTCAGAGGCTAGGGGAGGAGGGGGAGCAGACGTGGTTACAGTGGGGGGAATGGTTAAGGGGGAATGTAGGGGTTCAAAGTGGTGGTGGGGGCAAGAAGACCCACCCACCTAGTTACACTGGGGTCAGGGGGTGGTGGTAAAAATGGAGGGAGGGAGCAGATGGTGAAAAGTAGATCTTATTAGAGTGGCGAATGCTGGCAGAAGTGCTTAGTGAAGGGCAGAGGCTGGGGAGGGAAGGTTTAAGAGGAGACGGAGGGGAAAGTAGGAGACACAAGACATGAAGGAAGACTCAGGAGTAGTTAGGAAGGACATAGTAGTTTGTGAGTGTGTGCGCGGGGAAGTTTAAGGAAGGAAGAGGGAAGAAGGGATACCTCGGCTGGGAGGCGGGTTTGGGAGAGGAGACGCGGTGGAGGAGAGACACAGGAACTAGAGGGAAGAGATAGGGGACACCAAGAGTTCCCTAGCATCCTACAGTTGCCTCGAACAACCAGGTACTCTTAGCAACCGGACCGCGGCAACCTATATCCTTAAACAACCAGGGTCCTCAGCGACCACGGTGCGAAAAACAAGCGATCATTGGTAACTTGGCAAACGGACATGGTAAACGGACCCTTAACACCTTGAGACACAGAAACCCACCACCCTAGCAATATGGATCACTTAGCAACGACCCTCCGAATCCCACTCCCCCCATGCAGTTTCTGTCTCCCGCCCCACCGCGCCCACCCTCGGGCCCCGGGGCCTGCAGCCCTCAGCCAGGCCCCGGTGCCGCCCGATCCTCCAACCGGGGCCCCCAACTCACGGTCCGGCTCGGCCATGGGCGCGGGGCGGGGGCCCTCGGGGCTGTCACCGACCGCTCTATCCCGTGACGGTACCGGAAACAGGAGGGGCAGGGATAGGACAGAGAACTACAACTCCCGTCAGCCACCGCGGCCACATCAAGCTTCGCGCAACACCCGGAGCGCCCCCTCTGAGGTAAGGAAGACACGCGAGGACCGCACTACGAGTCCCAGAGGGCCTGGCGTCGGCAGCCACGTTGGTAAAGGGCCTACGGAAAATGTGGAAGCGGCTAGAGAGCGGTAGTCCCTGCGGACACTCTGATTGGTCACGGTGCGGTATGGAGGCGGGGCTTGAGCGATTTACCTCATTCTGACTGGATGAATCAGGGGGCGTGCTGGGGAATTCCCCGGAGAGCGGAAGCGCCTGAGCTCCAGGCAGAGCCCAGCAACAGGCGGGCGGCCGTGGGGGGCCCCTGAGGTGGCTGGGGCCATGGCCGGGGTCGCGTGCTTGGGGAAAGCAGCGGACGCGGATGAATGGTGCGACAGTGGCCTGGGCTCTCTAGGCCCGGACGCAGCGGCCCCCGGAGGACCGGCGCTGGGCGCAGAGTTGGGTCCGGGGCTGTCGTGGGCGCCCCTCGTCTTCGGCTACGTCACTGAGGATGGGGACACGTGAGTGAACCTTAGGCTACCAAACTGAGCCCTGGGATCTGGCGTCTGATTCCCCGTTAGTCTTTGGTCCCTGAAGATTCCTACTCCTAAATCTGATTTCCAGTGCTGGACTTCCTGACCTATAACCCCCGAGTCATAACTTTTAGCAAAACCAGTCTCCTATTCAGCTTTGATCCTAACCCAATAGTTTCTGACCTTCCTTTCTTGAACTCTGATTTTCAGCTCCTGGAATCCATATCCTACCCACTGATCTCAAAACCCAGTTTAACCTTCATGACCCCAATCCAGAGACCTTTGTTAGAGCTCTGGCTCCAGCTCCTCCTGACCTCTAACCTCCAAATATAATCTTTGATCCTTAGTTCCTGATTTATGAGTGATTTTCGAAATTAATACTTGGTCCCTAACTCTAAGATCCTGTCTTCTGAGCACCGATCTTAAAATCTTAAATTCAAAGAGAGAACGTAAGCTCAGTGAGAGCAGGGATTCATCTGTTAAATATTTCTCTCGCACTACCACGTTTCAGGCCCTGTTTTAAGTGCTAGTGACCAAGCAATGAAGAAAACAGACAAAAACTTATGCCCTTGTGGAGCGTACATTTTAATGGGGCTAAATAGATTGACAGCAAGGAAGGAAGAAAGAAAGAAAAGACAGGAAGAAACAAAGACAGAAAATAAAAGGGGGGAGAGAGGAGAAGAGTGAGAAAAAGAAAAGGAAAGAAAGTCAGTCAGGAGGTAGTAGGTGCTTTGGAGAAAAATAAAGCAGGAAAATGAGGTGAGGAGAAGAGTGTTCCAGGCAGAAGGAACCGCAGTTGTAAAGGCCCAGAGAAGGGACAGTACCTGGGTTTTTTGTCTGTTGTGTATCTCTAGTGACTCAAACAGTGCCTGACCCATAGGAGGCACTCAGTAAACTTTGATCTTCTCAAAAAACCAGCTTTGGTTTCATTAGTTTTCTCTTAATTTTTTTTTTGCTTTCTATTTCATTGGTCTCTGTTCTGACTTTTATTATTTCATGTTTTTCTGCTTGCTTTGGGTTTAATTTGGTTCTTTCTATAGTTTCTTAAGGTGGAAGCTGAGGTCACTGATTTGAGACCTTTCTTTTCTCTTCTAATAAAGGTGTTGAGTGCTATAAATTTCCTCTGAGTACTGCTCTAGTGATATCTCACAAACTCTGATACGTTGTGTTTTAATTTTCATATCTTTCTGATGCTGATTTTTAATTTAATCCCATTGTGGGCAGAGAACATACTGTACTTTGTATGACTTGCATTCTTTTAAATTTTTTTTTTTTTTTTTTTTTTTTAAAGATGACCGGTAAGGGGATCTTAACCCTTGACTTGGTGTTGTCAGCACCACGCTCAGCCAGTGAGCGAACTGGCCATCCCTATGTGGGATCTGAACCCGGGGCCTTGGTGTCATCAGCACCGCACTCTCCCGAGTGAGCCACGGGCCGGCCCCTTTTAAATTTTTTGAGACTTGTTTTATGGCCCAGAATGTGGCCCAGAATATCGTGTGTGCACTTAAAAAGAATATATATTCTGCTGTTTTTGAATGTAGTGTTCTTTAAATGTTATGTAGTAGTCGTGTTGGTTTATAGTGGTGTTCAGGTCTACTATGTCCTTGCTGATAATTTTCTGCTTACTTGTTCAATCAGTTGTTGAGGATGGATATTGAAATCTCCAACTATAATTGTGGATATGACTATTTCTCCTTGTAGTTCTACTAGGTTTTGCTTCATGTACTTTGAAGCTCTTTTATTTATTTATTTATTTCCTTTTTGTCTTTTTTCGTGACCGGCAATGGATTGTAACCCTCAGTGTCGCGCCCGTACCGGACCAGGACCGGCAACGGGATCGCAACCCTCGGTGTTGCTCCCGCACCTCGCTCAGCCAGTGAGCGGCCGGTCTGTACGTGGGATCCGAAACCTCGGCGGGAGCGCCACCGTGCTCCCAAACGGCGCACTGTAGCAGTGCGCCACCGGGCGGCCAGGAGCTTTTTTATTAAAGGCACTAATCATAAGGATTGTTACATATTGTTATTCCTGATTAATTTACCTCTTTATCATTATGAAATTACCTTCTTTATCCCCAGTAATATTTTTTGCTTGAAATCTGCTTTGTCTGATATTAAAATATTCACTCCAGCCTTCTTTTAACAGGTGTTAGCATGTTATCTCTTCTTCTGCCCTTTTATTTTTAACCTATTTTTTAATATTTATATTTAAAAGGTGTTTTTTATAGGAAGCATATAGTTGGATTTTGCTTTTTTTCCAATTTTTTTTTTTTTTGGCCATTGGCTGGTACAGGGATTGAACCCTGGACCTTGGTGTTATCAGCACCATGCTCTAACCAATGAGCTAATGTGCCAACTCTAGATTTTTCTTTTTTATTTAATCTGGCAATCTCTGCCTTTTAACTAGAGTGTTTGTATCGTTTACATTTAATTTACTGATACGGTTATGTTTGAGTTTATCATCTTGCTATTATATATATTCTACTTATCTGTCTTTATTTTCTTTTCCCTCTTTTTCTGCCTTCTTTTGGAAGTGTAGTTTTTGTTATTTCATTTTATTTCTTTCATAGGTTTATTAGCTGTAACTATTTTGTTATTGTAGTGTTTGCTTTAAGGCAGAGATTGGCAAACTATGGCCTCCAGACAAAAATCCAGCTTTTGTGTTTTTTGTTTTGTTTTGTTTTGGTTTTTGGCACCTGGCTGGTAAGGGGATCCAAACCCTTGACATTGGTGTTCTAACAAGGTGATCTAACCAACTGAGCTAACCAGTCAGCCCCAAATCCAGCTTTTATATGATCGTGAGCTAAGAATGGTCATTATATTTTTTTAATGGTTTTTAGAAATCAAAAGAAGGATAATATTACATGGCAAGTGAAAATTATATGAAATTCAAATTTTAGGCTCCATAAATAAAGCTGTATAGGAATACAGACATGCTCCTTCATTTACATGTTTTAAACGGCTGCTTTTCCACTACAACAATAGAGTTGAATAGGTCGGTAAGAGAGAGACCATATGACTCTCAAAGCCTAAAATAGTTCTCTAGTCCTTTACAGAAAATGTGTGCTGACTCCTGTATTAGAGTTTATAGTATACAACTGTAAGTTATCCCAGTCTACCTTCAAGTGATATTATACCACCTCAAACAGAAAGAACCTCAGAATAGTATAGTCCCATTTGTCCCCTTCTAGGCTTTATGCTGTTGTTGTCATACTTTACTTATATGTATGTTATAAATGCTACCATACACCCAGGGCACTGCACTTGGCGGTGATTCATCAGCACGAGCCCTTTCTGGATTTTCTCCTGGGTTTTTCAGCTGGCACTGAGTACCTGGACCTGCAGAATGACCTAGGCCAGGTGAGCCACTAGGGGACAGTATAGGACTCAGGGTCCAGGGTTCTCAGTGCAACCCCTAACTCCTGCCCTCTGCTCCTGCAGACAGCCCTGCACCTGGCAGCTATCCTGGGGGAGGCATCCACGGTGGAGAAGTTGTATGCAGCAGGCGCTAGGTTGTGCGTGGCAGAACGTGGGGGCCACACGGCGCTGCACCTGGCCTGTCGCGTGGGGGCACATGCCTGCACACGTGCGCTGCTCCAGCCCCGCCCTCGGTGCCCTAGGGAAGCCCCCGACGCCTACCTCTCTCACGGCCCTGACTGCACCCCTGACACCAACCACACCCCTGTTGCCTTGTACCCTGAACCCGACTTGGAGAAGGAACAGGAAGAGAGTGAGGAGGACTGGAAGCTGCAGCTGGAGGCTGAAAACTATGAGGGTGAGGGCCCTTAGTCTCTGGGGAGGACTCAGGCTCCCAGGCAAGTCGGGAGCACCCTGCTCTGGGCTCTGACGCAAGGCCCAGACCCTTGGGAGATCATATGTAGGCTTCAGGGACCTGGGTAGCAGGACCAAGGACCTCCACGCAGGCCCCAGATTACTGAGAATTGGACATGTGGGATCCAGGACCCCCACCTGGAGGCCCCAGACCACTTGGGACCCAGGCCTGTCACCAGTAGATGCAGAGCTGCCAGGATCCAATTGTTGGGCCCAGGCTGGTATTGGGCCCACCTACAAGGAGCAATCCCAATATCCCTACCCTCACCTACAAACCACAGGACCCTGCTCACCCAAGACTAGGGAAATCAAACCCCAGGCCCTCTGTGAAACTCTGGCATCCCAGGTTCCCAGTAATGGGCAGCAGGGTGGAAGGATAGCTCTCCTCAGCCAGGCCTCATGGGAAAAAGGACCCATCTATCCACGGCCCTGGCATCTGAGTCTCAGCTCTTCCACCCATAAGCTCAACTACCTGGGACCCGACCCCTCCACAAATGGACTGAGATCATCTAGGACCCAGTGTTCAGGGCCCACCCCCCTAACCCCCAGGTCACAGGCCCTTCAGCTACTCAGGACCAAGGTCCTTTGTGAAATAAGACCAGGAACTCAGGTCTCCTGGCCCCAAAACTCAGGCCTCCCGTCCAAAGACCCCAGGCTCTTTACCTATAGGCCCCAGTCATCCCACAACCCAGGCATTGGACCCTGCCAGCAAACTGAGACCACTTGAGACTTAGGTATTTGGGATCCAGGTGCCTCTTTTACATACCCAGGAATTCAGGAGCCAGACCCCAAACCTGGTCACCCTCAGGCCACATGGCTCTCCCCTAGGATCATGACACCAGGGGCACAGGCCCCTCACCCCATCATCTGACACCAGTCACTCTGTCCCCAGGCCACACCCCACTCCATGTGGCCATCATCCACAAAGATGTGGAGATGGTCCGGCTGCTCCGGGAAGCTGGAGCTGACCTCAACAAACCGGTGAGCTGCCCTAGGGGGAAGGTTTGGTGGGGGTGGGGTAATGTCCCCTCTTCAGGCCTTCTGATCTCTCTGCTGCACCTCACAGGAGCCCACGTGTGGCCGGAGCCCCCTGCACTTGGCAGTGGAGGCCCAAGCAGCCGATGTGCTGGAGCTTCTCCTAAGGGCAGGTGCAGACCCTGCTGCCCGCATGTATGGTGGCCGCACCCCACTGGGCAGTGCCATGCTCCGGCCCAACCACATTCTTGCACGCCTCCTCCGTGCACATGGAGCCCCCGAGCCTGAGGATGAAGATGACAAGTTTGACCCCTGCAGCAGCAGTAGCGACAGCGACAGCAACAGCGACAGCGGGGATGAGGGCGTGAGTCAGGAGGAAAGATGGGACAGCCCAGCTGGGGGGTCAGGGTAAACCGGCAGGTGGGAAAGGGGAGAAGACCATTAAGCAGTGCATTGAGACCAACCTTGGGCTGCTGCAATTAAAGAGCCCAGGCAGCGGTGCAAGTGACATGGGGCAACACTCAGGGGAGACTTGGCTAGGGGTGGCGGGGAGAACTCGGGCAGTGGTGGTCGAAAAATTAAGGCAATGGAAGAGGTAGAACTCAGGCAGAGGNCCTACGTGAAATCTGCTGTCTTCCTTATTTTTATTCCTGTGTACTTATGGTGTCCTTGTCTTTGACTGCTTTTAAAATTTTTGTCTTTATCACTGGTTTTGAGAAATTTATTTCTGATGAACTTGGTAGTTTTCTTCATATTTCCTGTTTTGGGATTTGTTGAGCTTTTGGGATATGAGGGTTTATAGTTTACATCAAATTTGGAAAATCTTCCAGCCATTTTTTCTTATGTTTTTTTTCCCTGTCCCTTCCTTCCTGTATGGACCTCAGTTACACATATATTAGGCTTCTCAAAGTCATCCCACAGCTCACTGATGCTCTTTTCTTTTTTTAAAAAAAATTTTTATTTTTCCTCTGTATTTCATTCTGAATCATCATGTCTTCGAGCTCATTAATCTTTTCTTCTGCAATGTGTAATTTGTTGTTAATCCTATCCAGGGTATTTTTCATTTCAGATACTGTAGTTTTTATCTCTAGGAGTTCCATTTGAGCCTTTTTCTTTTCTCATCTGTGTCTCTACTTAACTTTTTGAACGAATGGAATGGAATACAGTTATAATGAACTGTTTTAATGTTCTTCTTTGCTAATTCTAACATCTATGTCATTTCTGGGTCAGCTTCAATTGATTGATGATTCTCATTTTGGATTGTGTTTTACTGCTTCTTTGTATGCCTGATCATCTTTGGTTAGACGCCAGACATTGTGAATTTTATCTTGTTAGGCTGGATAGTTTTGTATTCCTATAAATATTCTTGAGTATTGTTCTGGGATGCAGTTAAATTACTTGGAAGTAGTTTGATCCTTTTGAGTTTTGCTTTTATGATTTGTTAGATGGGTGCCGAGCAGTGCTCCATCTAGGGCTAATTATTCCCCACTACTGAGGCAAGGCTCTATAGAATATTCTACTTAATGAACTGTGAATTATGAGTTTTTCTAGTCTAGCGGTGGGAATAGGCGCTATTCCTGGCCCTGTGTGAGTGATAGGAACTTTTCTATAATCCTTTTGGATGGTTTTCCATCTCCCACCCCCCGACTCAGCTCGCATGTGCTCAGCGTCCTCCTAAATACTTGATGGAATCCTCTGCAGATCTTCAGGGCTCCCTCCTTGTGCAGCTCTCTCCTCTTTGGTACTCTGTCCTATGACTCTAGCTGCCTTGGTCTTCCCAAACTCTTAGCTCCATCTCCTCACCTCACACAGCCCTGCTGGGCTCTGCCTGGGTTTCCCCTTTTTGTGCTGTGGCTTGGAAACTCTCTCAATAAAATAAGCTGTGACAATCAATTTTGGGGCTTACCTCATGTTTCCTGTCTCTCAGGGATCATTGTCATTCATTGCATGACATCCAGTATCTTCAAAACTGTTGCTTCAAATACTGTATTTTCAGGCTGGCTGGTTAGCTCAGTTGGTCAGAGCCTGGTGCTATTAACACCATGGTCCAGGTTTTGATCCGTTACTGGCCAGCTGCCAAAAACAAAACTGTATTTTGTCTGATTTTTTTTTTTTTCTTTTGTCTTTTTCTGTGTCCGGCAATGGATCGCAACCCTCAGTGTCGCCCCCGTACCGGNACAGCGGGGATGAGGGCGTGAGTCAGGAGGAAAGATGGGACAGCCCAGCTGGGGGGTCAGGGTAAACCGGCAGGTGGGAAAGGGGAGAAGATCATTAAGCAGTGCATTGAGACCAACCTTGGGCTGCCGCAATTAAAGAGCCCAGGCAGCGGTGCAAGTGACATGGGGCAACACTCAGGAGAGACTTGGCTAGGGGTGGCGGGGCGAACTCGGGCAGTGGTGGTCGAAAAATTAAGGCAATGGAAGAGGTAGAACTCAGGCAGAGGTGGACAAGAGACCTTGGTTGTAGTGATCAGCGAACACAGGTAATTTGGGGTGACAGTGTAGGGAGTGATTTTAGGGAGCAAGATTTGGAGAACTCAGGCTGTGGGAAGATGACCTTGGGCAGCAGCGATCTGAACACCGGCAGTGGGGGGGAATGGGCTCAGCCAGCGGTGAGGAGAGGTTAGTTGGTGAACATAGGCAACAGATACTACCTCGAACAGGGAACGGAGTTGAATGGTGGGGGATGAGGAATTTGGGTAAAGGCAGAGGGAAGGGGTGGAGGAGAGAGACCTCAAGTTGCTGAAATACTGGAGGAGCAGCAGGGCCGGAACTCAAGGGTAGCAGCGGAGAATGCAGGCCGTGGGAGAAAAGATCCTGAGAATGACCTTTTCGAGCTAGGAGTAGGGAAGCGGAACCAGGAGCAGGGGAACTCAGATTTCATGGCCAGAACCAATTCTCAGGATGTTGTGTAAGAACTTGACCAGTGGGCAAGGTGGCAGCCGCCTGAGCCCCTCTGCCTGGCCCCCTCTGCCCCCAGGATGAATATGATGACATCGTGGTCCACAGTGGCCGGAGCCAAAACCAGCTACCTCCCACCCCAGCCTCAAAACCTCTTCCTGACAACCCCAAGCCCGTCTGATTTTTTTAATTGTTAATATAATTTCCAATTTAATAAAATCCCAGTTCTGACAACCAGAGACTAGATTCCTTGCCTGTCCTCCAGTTTATTCCTGGACCCCCATCCCTCCGAAATCAAGTGCTACACACTAAGCCTTGGTGGTTTTCTTTGTGCTTTATTCACTCAAAAGGGTTGGAGTGGGCTAGGTGTGTACTGGAGCGTGTTTCCTGAATCAGGTCTGAGCCCAGCCCCCATCCAGCTCAGACTTGTCCCCTCAGGCTTGGTTCCAAGGCACATCCTTCTCCCCACCCCTGCCAGGTTGGGGGGTGCGGTGGGGTGCCAGGTGAGGTGGAGGCTTTGGGGTCAACAGTCCTAAGCTGTAAGGTGTGGGGAAGAAGGAGGGCATGAGGTGGGAGTCAGCCCTCCCTCCTGAGTGCCTCCCCCCTGCCAGGTTGGGGGGTGCGGTGGGGTGCCAGGTGAGGTGGAGGCTTTGGGGTCAACAGTCCTAAGCCGTAAGGTGTGGGGAAGAAGGAGGGCATGAGGTGGGAGTCAGCCCTCCCTCCTGAGTGCCTCCCCCAGCATCTCCGTGGCCTTCTTCAGTTCATCTCTCATGTGCTCCAGCTGCTCCACCTCATGTTCCTGGTGGGATTAGAAATAGGGTGGTCGGTACCCACCTTCAGAGGCTGGCTACCTCAGTGGTCACCCATGAGTGCAGGCCATGTCAGTGCTCACAGTGGCAGCCAGCAGTGGTCATCCTAGTCATCATGGACTGCAATGATGACCATATTGGTTGTCACAACTCTGGAAGAGTTATGTTGGCCAACGTGATCAGTAGGGAGGTCCATGTTGACTGCTATAGCCAATGGCAGTAGACACGGGACAAGCAAAGGTGCCCAACTTGGATGACCCATTTGTGAAGTGATGGCCACTTTCATTACTGCCACCAATCATAGTGACGTCTTACTTTCCATGCAGCAAAGGTGTCTGTCTATAGCCTAGTGTGCCGGACACAGCAGACACTTCATGGTGGCCAACTTACTTGTTAGGGACTAGCAGTGGTAGCTTACTTGGAGCTTCTATGTAACAATGGTGGTCATCTTGGTTACTGTAATGTCAGTGGGGAAGCCACCTTGCTTGGATGTTGCTACCTAGTCCTGGTGTCAGTCTTGGTGACTATGGCCCATTTGTGGGGTTGGTCTTGCTGTGTATGGCCCAACACTGCTAACTGCTTGGCAGTATCTCCACAGACCGTTTGGTCAACCCTCCTCCCCACTGCCTTGGAGCGCCCCCTCCTCTGCTCACCTCCCCCTCTGAAGCCTCTTCCTTCTCCTGCTTGGGCTCAGCTGCCAGCTGGTGGTGGTGGTGTGGCGAGTCCTCCTGCCTCTCTCCTCCACCCCTCTCAGCGCCCTGCCACAGGCTGTGGCCCCCGCCCAGCACCTGCACACCCTTTTCCTCTGCCTCAAACTGGGCTGTCTCCTCGTCACTGGCCTTCTCTGTCACCCGCTTCTGGGGACCCGCTGCACCCTCCAGACGCCACTTCCACAGGTCCCCGAAGGTCTCCAGGGGCCTCCTCTTCTTTTCCTCCTCCTCTTCCTCCTTGGCCTGTTCCTGGTGGAGCCGACTGCGGAGCTGCTCGTGGATGGCCTGTTCCCGGACCTCAGACTCGTGGGTCCTCTCTGCTGCCTCCTCCTCTTCCTCGTCCCTCACCTCCTGGCTGGACCTTGTCTTCCCAGCCTCCCGCTTCTTGAAATCCCCAACCAGCGGGCCTTTCTCCAAGGTGGACACACAGCCATAGGGCTCTGTCTCACACATCTCTGGCAGAAAGAAACAGGATGCTCTCTGTGCATCAAATTGGGAAGCTGAGACCTGGAGAAGTTCTGGGCCCTGGGACCCCCTGGAGCCTCAGGGAGTCTGCCCAGAAGTGGGAGAGAAGGGTCAGGTGCTGAGGGAATGTTCTCTGCCCCCATCCCAGCCCTCTGCAGAGAGCCCCAAGGGTGGAGCTGGTGGCCAGGATCTGTCAGGTGGGACGCTGCGCAGTGAGTGCCACACTAGCTCAGGCCAGACGACTCTGGAAATGAAAAGAGGACACCCCTTCCTCCAGGCAGCCCTGGGCAGAAGGGCATGGGGAGCATCCTGGGCAGAATCGGGGTGGGGTGGTATGGGGCTCCAGAGAAGAACTGGAGCCTGGGTCCTCCTTACCTTTGTGGAGGAGAGCCGTGCAGGGTCCTCTCTGGGCCTGGCCCAGCGTCAGCACCTCTGTGACCATCTCTGCCAGACAGCGGGTCAGCTGGAGGGTGGGGGTGAAGGATCAGAGGGGAGTTTGAGGGCAGGGGGGTTGTGGGTAATGAGAAGGCTTAGAGGGTTAGAGGGGAGATGGGGACCAAGAAGGAGGCTGGGCAGGGAGGACAGGGCCCCAGCGAGCTGAGGTGGGGCAAGGGGTAACACTCCTCACCTCCTTGGAGGGTCTTGGTACCAGGGGAGCAGCTGTGGCTGTGGAGAAAGGAGACGGGCGCTGGGCTGGGACCCCGGGCTCTGTCCCCGGTACTGATCCCAGCTCCACGGGCGTCCCGTCTCCAGCGCACCTGCTGGGTGCACCGTCCCCACCTGGAAGCTCGGCCCATGAAGTCTCTAGTCTGACCCCGCTGGGTGCACCGCCCCTCCCCGGTCACTCTGTCCTCTGGGCTGGCCCCCGAGGTCCCTGGAAATTCGTCACTCACCCGCCCCCAGCAGCAGCGGCAGCAGCAGCGGCAGCAGCAACACCGAGGCGGGCCCTCGGCGCGGCATGGTGGGGCGTCCGGACCAGGGTCCTCGGCGTGGTGCGGGCCGGGGCGGCCGCCCCTTATAACCTGCACTGTGGCCCCGCCGGGGAGGAAGTGACGTCACCGCCGCCCCCTCCCGGCCCGGCGGGGCGACAGCTGCGGGGCGGCCCCCCCCTCCAACCCCCACCTCCGCCCCCCAGGGGGGGGGGGGGCGGGACCGCCCCCCCCCCCCCCCCC